GTCAACATTGGGGCAAACTAGGAACGGAGGGGCCGGGGTTTGTTTACATTGGGCCAACTTTGGGGCTCCATGATAGACGACCGATCAAATAGAGCTGCACACTTTTTCTATGATAAAAGGATTGAGATGGCAATACTCTTCTGTACCTATACAGGTACTTCAGAAAGCACCTATGGAGAGAGAAAATGGCTGCTGAAAGATCCTTCTTAGCTCAGCCATCTTAAGGATTACGTGGCTCTCAGAATGGTGAATAGGGGAGGGGGTTGGAAATGAGAATGATCCAAATGTGCAAATGAAATAAGGGGCCGTTCATAAATTACGTAATGCTCTAGGGGAGGGGGGCCCAGGATAGCGTCACGCAATTTTGCTTTTACTATTCAAAGGATAGGGACCTACGTTACAAAAGCGCGTGCCAAGGGGAGCGGGGAGGAATGTCGAAAAAGTGCGTTACGTAATTTATAGACGGCCCTTAAGTAGGTTTCGTTTTCTTGTATAAACATCAAAATAACTCAAAACACATAGTTGGGCGCATTCATACAATGTAGAAATCAGTTTTGTGCATTACATTATGGATTGCTGGTAGCTTATGAAAAAATGTAACACATAAGGAGCGGTCGTTCGATAGGTCGATGAGGAGTGGAACTGTCCTGTTCGTTATAATCTCAATAAGATGGAATTATACGGAGGTTTCGACAGTAAATGATTCAGCGTTGAAATTTTCATCGTAAACTCACTTGAAGAGTGGCTGGACTTCAAATCATTATCCGATTGGGTGTCCTTCGTGCCAAAAATGTTTTTAAGACACCCATGCAAGTGTATGCGAAGATTACGATTAACTCAATCTTGGATTTTTCGGCATGACAGTCTTTTTTCTCGCGTCAAATCATCGAAATAATGCCGTCATGTTACGAAGAGGTGATGCATCTAATAACTTATATGAAGAGTTAGCCTTTGCCCCGGTTACCGTGCGCAAATGGTCTGAAATCTCAACGCGATTCTTGGTCTGTCCACAGAGCGGCCGACTGCGTGACGAGACGTGGATGCTCGCGATGCTCCTGTTTCAGATGAAGGAGGTTGCGACTGGACATCGCTTCACGGCATGGCGCCGTGTTCACGCTTCGCATCTCGTAATACGCGAAGGGCCTGTGCGTCCGGGGTTAGCATAAATCGGCAGATCTCGCGTAACCTAGTATCAGATACCCATCTGGCTTACCTTGATTCCCATTTCAAACGCTTAAACAATGGTTGCCGTCCTGGACTCATCGTTATACGCACTTTAGTCAGTGGGTTTGCGGACAATCTACCAGTCCGAGCTCCACGACTGGATGTCGTGTTGATTCTTTTAAAAAATCGTATTTTACATTCCGAAATGATTGTATCAATTTTACCCAATAAGCAATACTGATCAAAAGCTCGTGCAAATTTGTAGGGAATCACGTGAAATATCGCAAATCCGCTGACAAACCGAAAATATTGTTTATGCAAATTATATACCGGCCAAAATAATTTTTATACTATTTTTTCGATCAACAAAACATCTCGTCACGGTAGTAAGTCTAGCTGTAAAACAGCCGCTAACATTCGAAAATCTGTGAAGAGGCGGGACTGGGCACTCCGACCTTCCGAAATGGCGGTCATCAGCCGGAGAAGAATAGCCGGGTTGAACTTGGACCTCTAAAATACTTTGTTCTGAACATATTTATGGATATTGATGCCAAATGTATTTGCTTTTCGCATAGCCTAATAAATCTGAGAGACCGAAGAAAACCGGAACTAAGTCGCTTGTTCCCTAGATGGCGGTCAATGGCAAAAGTGAAATGGCTTACTGAACTTGGGTCTCCATTTTTTCTATTTTAAACATGTTCAAGTATATTGTATTACCTAGTGCTAATTTGCATGTTGATACATTTTAATGCCAAAATTGGGCTGGCTAAGCTGTATAGAACGTGGTAATTGATTAAAAAATTGAGCTACAAGCCAAATGTAATGAGTAATATATCAAAGTACATGTATTTGTACATGCCATTTCTCATCTACGAGTATTTTGAAATGTTACTCATTATTTTTGGCTTGTACCTCGATTTTTTAATCAATTACCATGTTTGCATGTTGGTAGGAAGGTTAGGTGGTTCAGAAAATGAGAAAATGGTGGAGATCTGCTTGAAGTGGCCAAAATATGGGAGACTTCGAAAGATCCCAGTATTGGTCTCAATTGATTTTCGCTCTGCATACTTTCAGTTCAATTCTCACTAAGTTTCATGCTGGAAGCCTAGAACGCACTATTCTGATCCGAAACGACCTTACTAAAAAAATAGGCGGCAAAATTGAAAAACGCTTAACACAGGGAGATTGAACAATGAACCACAAGACGAATGCGCAAAGAAGCAGACAGAGGCAATCTCTTGAAAATGCAAATCTCAGGATTGGAAATGACATCGAGAAATAATTGGTTGGAGCGATCCCAGGGTGAAGGTGCTTTACAAACAGGGACAAGTTGTGAGCCTTGACTTGAACTTGCTCCCCCGGCGCAAAACATCGACTTTGTCTCCGAGTAGGAGACTTATATAGTGCTCCGTTTAGGTGACATGCCATGCCGGACAACACACGTCTGTCACGTATACCAGCCAGTTTTCGATTGCATTACTTGTTACAGGGTATCCCAGCATTATGTACGAATATTGAAGAAGTCGATTCTTTGGGTCAAAAAAAGACGGTTTTGTGGTATAACTTTTTTTCCAAAAACGCTTTCCCTGGGAGCCCCATTACCCCCCTATTATCCCCTCTTATTCCTATTGGTTCCTATTATCTCGAAAACGATGAGTCCTTGCGGAAAACGCTACATACATTTCTACAAAATTTTTCAACGCTGAATCTAGTGGTGCCGTCAAAAACCAATTTTTATCGCTAAAAATATTAATTTCATACCCCCCTAAATCCACCCTTAAAATGAGTTTTCTCTCTTTTGGAGGTCAAAATTGAAAAAAGTGCTAAAAATTACCCCCAATTACCGATTATCATCAATATTGGTTGATAAACATTGTCACAGTGTTAATAGGACGATTTTTTTTCTCCAACTTTAGAGGGCCGTGGCCTCCAGGGAAAGAATTTTTAGAAAAAAAAGTTATACCACAAAAACGTCTTTTTTGACCCAAAGGATCGACTCCTTCAATAATCTACTTAATCCTAGGACACCCTGTATGTTGGCTTTAGACGTAAAATTCTTTAAGAGGCTCTAAATAATAAAAATAATATTCGCTTGAAGAAAATGTATGCCAATCATTTTGCAGATTTAAGAATGAAAAAGGTTTTCAGTGACTGCAGAAGAGTCGATCATGAAAATTCCGTCGATACTGAAGTATCGACTGTATTTGATTTTGGATCGACGCAGTGGCGAGTCGTAGGCCCTCACTACGTTGCACGACTGCAGACGCGATGCTGTGAAGAGGTTGACCTCTGCATCGCGCGGCGGCGTCAAGGCGAGGCTGCAGCGCCGCTGCCAGTGACATCAAACCGTTTCACAATAAACGAAAATCAGCTCACAACTCACGGGAGAGATGAGCCTTTATACTGCTCACACAAAATGATTTGGTTTTGACCGCGCTACGCGGATGCTATGGAAAAGATCTCAAATAAAAGGGCATATCATAAAATAGAATCCACGCGGACATCGCGTGGAGGGAGGGGAGAAGATCTCATGTTAATAATTTGACTCATTTAAAAACGGGCAGAGATGAACACAAACAAGGGTGGTGCAATTTCCGGGGGAAATCTCGATCAAATGTAAATATAAAATCTATGAAGATTATACAGACCGTTCGCCTTGAATCCTAACATATGTCATTAAATTTATAAGGTGGCTCTATTGCCAGATTTCTTTTTGGGGGCATCCATGAATTACGTCAGACACATTTTTTGCAAAAGCCTTTTCAACATGCTACTAGCAAAAGTTCACGGAACTTTGCACGAAAGTTAAGTTCCGTAAATCTGTTTCTAATGGACAACGCCTTCCATTTATAAGTATTGAACGAAAAAATTATGAAAGAATAAACATGAATGTGGTTTAATAATGTTAACTTCTGCCGCCGCGCCGCGCTGACCGCACTGTGTTTTGGCGCAATGCGAGAAGTATTCCTACAGTCTTGTAGGCGCTATGCATTTCTCGCCGACCGCTGCTGTCCGCACTGCGGTTGACGCAATGCGTGAAGTATTCATGCAGCCTTGTAGGCGCTAATACGTGTTACGTGCCGACCGCCGCGCCAAGGGCTTCTCCGTTTCATCTCAAGTCCTCGTCATCATTGCTTTCTGCGCCGCGCCGTTCCAGGCCAAATTGCATGTTGGGTTTTTCTCTGAACTCGACTAATTAAAGGTGTTGTCTCTTGTATCACCGAAAAACGACAAAATTAGAGATTACTATACTGTCAAGAAATGAGAGATTTTGTCGCCTTTTCTCATTTGTAATTTTTTTTTTCAGAATTCGTATTTTTTTTATACATACAGTTAAACAAATTGCAAAATTTACCGCCCCCTAAATTTACCGCCAAGGGCAGCAGCCCATGTGGCCACCCCCTGAATCCAGCCCTGCAATCAAGCGTCTCTTTTGGCAGCCTTTCTTCCGTCATCCTGTTGACATGACCGTACCAGACAAGCTGTTTGGTCATGATATCTTAACATAAAACATTCTTATTAATCTTAACATACCCCCAGATATACACTGGAAAAAAAAAAACACATTGGATTTAGAGTCCAGACTCTTGAAAACATTGACAAGAAAAAATACTCTTAATTCAATCGAATTTTTGCTTGAATCAAAACGAAATCCGCTTAAATTAAGAGGCTTGGTTCTTGATTTAAGCTAGATTCTGATTGAATCCAGAGTACTTTTTCTTGTCGATGTTTTTAAGAGTCCGGACTCTAGATCCAATGTGTTTTTTTTCTAGTGTATAAATAAAAATATTGCTCGCTGAGAAAAGTACATTGTTAGTAAATATATATTGTTGCAGGTTTTTGGCAATTTGGTGGCCGCTGAAATGTCAGATCACGACGCGGCGAGCGCGGATCATAATCACGGGGATCTGGTTGGTCTCCATAGCGACGACGCTGCCGTGGGCCCTCTACTTCGACCTGGTCATCGTCTTCGAGGATGTGCCCGAAATTCAGGTCTGCCTCGAGAAGTGGCCTAACCCTCTCGTGGGCCTCCTCTACTTCCTCATAGTGAACCTCTTCTTCTCCTACCTCTTGCCGATGGCCATAATCACCGCCAGCTACATCCTCATCTGGGTCAGGGTCGGGAAGCGGAACATCCCCACGGATGCCAAGGATGCCGCCCTCGAGCGCATGCAGCAGAAGTCCAAGGTCAGTACTCGCTTCTTCGCATCAGTGTTCGAAACTCACCTTGGAGTTTCAAGGGCCATGTGGCGCATCAAGCTCAATTTTTAGGGGCCATTGAAGATTTTTTAGGGGCCAAATTGACTTTTTGCCTATGTATCACGGCGCATTTAGGGACAAGCTGGATGCAAGATGTTTTAGTTACAGAACTAGTAGCTGTTACTTGATTGGGGGAAATTTCGAAAAATCACCAAACAAAAAACTTGGATTTTTTTTTTTGGGGGGGGGGGGGGGAGGGAAAATTTAAGGGGCCACGATGGCGCAGAGCCTTGATTTTTTAGGCGCCATGACCGATTTCTTGGCCGCATTTGACGCGTTGGCACCTGTGAGTTTCGGACACTGCTTCCCATCTTCCGCGCAGGCATGTAGAGTGAACCACGCACAATTAAATGCGCTTGCTATAACACTGTAAAGAAATACCTTGAATAATTCGAGAGAATATTTGAAGTGAGAAAAAAGTCAATAAACACGTAGAAAATGAGTGCGGAATATTCGACAAGTACCCGAGTAGCACAAGCTGCCATAAGTAGCGATTACATTGTAAAAATATTGCAATTCCACTGGGTGTTGTGTATGTTGCCTACCTCCTATTTGAAGGGGCCCTATTTATTGAAACTTATTGCAAAAAAATTGAAATAGGTTACAATTTTTCATTGCATTCATTGCGAAAACTGTTTCAGATGAAAGTGATAAAGATGCTGGTGGCGGTTGTGATCCTGTTCGCGTTCTCGTGGCTACCTCTGTACATAATCTTCGGGTGGATAAAGGTGACCGGCGAAACGGGGACGGAGCTGCTGCAAACGCTCACGCCGATCGCCCAGTGGCTGGGAGCCTCCAACTCGTGCATCAACCCGATCCTCTACGCCTGCTTCAACAAGAAGTTCCGCAAAGGCTTCATGGAGCTCATCCGGAGCTGGAAGATCTGCGCCCCGCTGCGGAAGTACGAGACGGTGGCCATGGCCTCCTCCTCGACGAGCACTCGCAAGGGCTCCGCTCTGGGGCCGCACGGCGCTGTCCTCCGACGGCAGACGACCCACGACTCGTGCTACATCACCAGCTCCGCGGCGCTCCGGCGGCAGACCAGCCAGGAGACGTACTTGGTCAACGACGACGGGCGGATCCTCCCGCGGCAGGCGAGCCAGGACTCCTCGACTTTCGGCAGCGAGCGTGGAGGGATCCTCAAGCGGCAGACCAGCAACGACTCCAACTCGATGCGGGTCTCCAAGCCCATCTCCACGGTTGTGGGTGTTCTCGCGCGGGCCGGCTCCGGCGATAGCTCCACTTCCAGGACCCGCTTCTCCACAAAGACCGACTCCATCAGCGAGGAGGCCACCGGGGATTTCACGGCCGACTTAGACGGCTTCACCACTTCGGTGAGCAACTCGGTGGATATCGAGGATATTACCCCGGAGCAGATCGACGCCATCACCAACGCCAACACGAACGCCAACGCTCTCACCGCTATGGAGTTCGAGACCTCCGTTGTGAACGGGTTCATACCGGCTGGGTCTATAAGCAAGGCGCCCCTCGTCCAAGTCCACTCCTTTCCCAGGGCCAAAGGGATCCCTCGGATGGCGCCGCGGAGGCAGATGAGCCACGAAACCCGCGTCTCTTTCATGTACGAGTGCACCAGGGTCTAAACTTGCGTCTGCTCTTTTGGTATTCATCCGTGTCTCGGTCCCCCGAGGTTCTCGTTGCTGCTCGTCCGTGTTGACCGAGGTCCACGCGCCTCAGCAACGGCATGAGCCTTCCGTCGGCCGAGCTTCAAAGTGTGGCCTTATGAATGTTTTTAGCTCAAGTTTAACTAAGGTGTCACTACTGCTCGTCCTCGTGTGGTATGTAGGTGCTTTGGTCAAACCGTTTATTGAAAATGATCCGGCGGTGGAAAAACCTAACCTGGGATGTATTTATGAACTCTATTATTTCGCACACTTACTTAGTTCCTCATTGCCGTGGGTCAATCCTGCCTTTATATTGAACGCTGTAAAAAAAATGAAAGCATTCGGGCACGGGAGTTTGCCGAGCGTCAAATTTTCCGCAAGAAACAACGCATACTATAACAATACGTTGAATATAATCATTTCTTGCCTCAAATAAATGTTATTCGTTATCTAAAGAAAATAGACACTCCTTTGATTAAAAACATGCGGCTTAGAGTGTAACAGAGCAACTGTTAAGAACATTTAATTGTGCCCCTTCAACTGACAGGGTATGCGATCCAACAATTTTCATTATGCAATTATTCATTCATGCTCGATAAACATCGATGCTGAACTTTACTCTCTAGCTAAAGAGTTGACTGTTGCGATTCCATCACATTAAGTGTATTTTTATGCAAAACTGTGAACAAGAATTATTTCAGACTCTGTTGTCCGGTTGAAAGATTGTATGAAACGAATTACGCAAATATTTTCACTTGGTTTTTCGGCTTTTTGTTTTTGTTTATAGAGAAAAAAATATCAACTATCTTTGATGATTCACAAATTGCACTCAAAAACAAAATCTTTTGTTTGATTCTTTTGGAGGTTTCGCAAAATAGGTACATCACACAGACGTATGTGACTTTCGCACCACTCACGGCAGTTATGAACTAAGCTTTGATTGTGCGCTTTATTGGTTAGTTGATGTTACATGATATGAGGAGCAAATGACTCAGAGAAAAACTTTTTTTCGCTGAGAAAATGAAGTTATAAGAAATTAGAGTTGCGAGATGAATAAACAATAACTAACTGACCCTCTAAATATATTTTCAGGTGCTCAAATTCAAGTGTCAACTTCGGTATTTACAAATATTTACGGCGAGGATGATGTCAATATTTCCAAGTAAATTCTCTTACCTACAGATGAGCAGGATATCCCATGTACACGGAGAAAAATGTGCAGTCCATGCAGAACACCAAAGTTTTTCAGCCCATTCAGACCATTGCAAAAGATACCTAGACAAAAGAAAATATGAGTATCTACTTACACGATAAAAAGACTTCATTGAAAACATATCTCCTCATGTCTGTGACATCTCTGCTCTCAGGCGTGTCTGTGAAAAAGTCAGGTAAAATTAAATGTAGGAACAGCTGACTCCATTACATCTATAAATCGCTGACGTTCATATCCTATAACGATGTGAGAATTAATCACTTCGGGAGCAAATTAGGCTATGAAATTGACGTTTTTAAGCCCAAAAGAAGTATGTTGCACGCAAACCTCATTCACATGGTCTTAGTATATAAACACGTCCAAATAACGAGAAAAAAATTATGGCTGTAATTATGATCAGAGCACTGGTATATATCATAGGTGAAACTACCAGACCACGTTTCTCAAAATTTACATGTTTAAAAATCTTCGCAAAAATCATTTATTTTTTGAAGAAGAACAAATCAATGTCATTCCTCGAAGTCCTCACAGAGTTTTTTCCGAGCAGAGAAGAAAAATCGCGGAAGTTTTCGAGAATTGACGTTGACTACTTTTCCATTTAAAAAAGTATGGTAAGAAGTCTGCAACGTCAAAAATCGAGATAAGTGATCTGGTAGTTTCAGCATCGACATATAAGGGCTTGTCTCCACGGACATTTCATAAGATTTGTCCGAGGAAAAATCTCACTTGCGAAGTTGGGTAAAATTTTGTATTAATCAAAACTTATCTTGGTAACAAGCAGAGTCCTTGTGGGGTCCTAAAATCGACTCAGAGAGAAGAAGAAGAAATTGTGTTGCATTATTTAACGGGGAAGAAGCCCAGAAGTTTCACTCCTACGATTCGAACTTGTGACAAATCCCATGAAACATCCCGTGGAGACTAGGCGTAAAGAAAAATTATTGACATGATCTAGACTTTAGTCTGATTTCTTTTTACGAAAGTATTTACCTTCAATCGGAATGTTAATGATATGAAACTGGATGTATTTTTGGATAATTAAAACTATTTCAGTAAAAAAAACTGTCATATTGAGTAAAACAGCAACAGATTCTTAACGGCATTAGTATACAATATCCAGTTACAATTCAAGTATATTTTTCATAACCGTAATGAATATGGCGCTCTGTAAGTAACTAACTAACTTGATCTTATAACAAAATCATGCCTTTTTTCATGACTGAAACTTTTACGCACAAAACATGATCTCATCTCGCATTGAATGCTTTAACAATTACACCCGTTAGTGCTGCACACAACCATATCTCATGGCTTCATTCCGATGATAAGTTTCCTCTTTGAAATGAACATATCCCTTCTTTATGAGATTTCCACATATCGTGAGAACTGTAATACTTTTAATCTTATAGTTTGTGATCTACTTTTTTGTTTGACAACTTTTTTAAAGTTTTTGTTCTCATTTCGGGTAGTGAGCCAGCAAATGTTTGAAAAAAGGTTGTTTTTCTTGGCATTCCATTTAAAAGCTATTGTATTTCTTATCCCCAAGGTTTAAATCCCAATTTTCTTGGAACGAAGGGGCTAGTCTGAACATAACACAATGTGGCATGTTACTTCTTACAGCTGCGTGTATGTGCTCCTTTTCAAATGAATTTTTAAATGAAAAAAAAGAGCAATTTATCGACAAAAAAGGCATACATTTTTTTGCAGGGCTGAAGTTTTACCTAGCACTGTTGTCACGATCACACAGTTTGCCCCAGAAAAGGGGGAAATTCCATTCCTATCATTTTTATCGCACATAAAGTCAGGAGTGTAGTCAGAAATTTCACGGAATAGAGGGTGAAGTTTTGTGGCAAGATGCAACTACAACACATTTTGTTTGTTTTTCTAAGGATTCAACAAGGCGTTAAAATTCTTCACGATTATCAAAAATGGCCTTTATTATTTGGCGACAGTTAGAAACGGAAATTCCCCGATATAAAGTGAGCGAGGAGGTATGGTAGTTCAAAACTAAGTGGATAATTTATTTTATGGCTGTTCTCACAGCCCACGTCCTCTCTCAACATTGGCGGATCCAGCAAATTGGCAACGTTGTTTTTCTTCATTTAAACCTATGGAAATGTATCGATTTTTAGAGGGGCCAGGTGCTCCTTCAAGAATCGAGTATTTAACATAAGTCGTAGGTGTAATTGAAGGAAACGCGGTGTTGCCAAATTGCTGGATCCGTTTCTGTCGCTCAAAGTATAAAGAGTTAAGATATCCTGTGTGAATTTTAGCATCCGATGTCATTAAATAATAATTTTTCCTGCATCAATGTATAACACGAACGATCTAGTTTGTTCAAATTTTGGAATTATGCAAGACGCGGTTTAGATTGGGGCTTCCAGATACCTCGATGATTCGATTTTGTCACTTTAAATTCGAGATATCAATGATATCTCGAATGATATCATCGCCGAAGCGCCGGAATGCCAGCAAGAAGACCCCCACCCCACTTACGTCTGGGCTAATTCGGAAAGTGGCCCTTTTTTACTTCTATGAAAAACTGATGTTTTGCTCCTGACTTTTTGTGGTCCCCTTACCTCTTTACCGTACGCTGGGGAAATTTTTCGGTCGCAAGTAACACGAGCTAGCGAAAAGGAGCGAAGGTCGAAAAAATTGGCTAAATTCAAACTGCGCGCGCGGCACCTCAGGAAGGTTTCATTCAGCAAACAAGGCTTGTTTTGAACATTTCCGTCTCACAGCCCGACCGTTTTTCCCTCATATCAATAGTTCTTAAATTCCCTTTGAATAAATTGTGTTCATTTACATCACACAAATTCTTCTATGGCTATGAGCCTCTCGTACTTGATAACTGCCGTTGTACCCAAAGAGCTGCCACTAGTTAAACCTCTTGTCATTTAAAGATTATTTGTTATTTGTTACCTATTATACTTGTTATTTTTTATACTTAATCTCTGTTCACAAATGGTTCTCATACATCTTTGCAATTACTGAGTGAAAGTCACGGGTACTGGCGCTAATAAGTGTCACATTGTTCGCTTTCACTATGACAATACATGTTTGCCGCTTGCTTCTTAGTCTGGCGATAGTCCCCTCATCAACCACCACGAAATTATTGTCAGTGTGGTACCGTCTAGAGTCCCTTTATACTGAAAGTCAAGACAACACCCCGTCATGGAGTCACAAACGGGAATAAAGATTACACAAATTGAACGTTTTTTTTGTAATCTTTGATCGGCCCATTCTCAGATTCCTTTCTCCGTTCCCTCTCTCATTCCGTTTGTTCCTTGTCGAACCCATAATTCCTTGGTCCATACCAGATTATATAATCTTTGCAATTGGTGAAAATGTAATCTTTACTCCTGCTTGTGTCAGTTGTGTCACTGTGGAGGCCTAAAATACGGTGACCAATCAAAAATGGATTCACATTGTCTTGACTCTCAAAAGGGACTCTAGTACCGTCATGAAAGTTTGTTCGTAAATATGCATATAAGTACTTAAACAGCTTTTAGGAAAGACTAAATACCATGTCTGGTTTACTTCTTATTATAATACCTTATGAGCCTATGGTACCTACTACGTTTATTTACATTTACAACACGTGAATTCTTTTTCGGAACTTTGATTATATTTCATAAAAGCATAATTAAATCCGATCAAGTTTATGCCCCTGGTAAAAATTGGCAGTAGAATCTATGTTCCAAAATACCATAGACCTACGGCCGGCTGTAAGATTTCCAATAGCTTCTATAGCCGGCTACACAATTTCCTATAGCCTTTTATAGCCGATGGCGATTAAGCAACTCACAGCCAGGCGATAAAGTGTATGCTACGGTACGTAACGTGCCCTTACGGATGCTAGGACTTAGTGAGTTTTTGGACCACTGCTATTCTTTTTGGGCCGTAGTATCTTGATTTATTTTGCGAGGAAAGCTCCATACTTTTGATGGATGCCTGCCATTCCCAATATATTAGAGCGCCTTCAGTTTCGTATGAAACTGTGCAATACCTCTGGTGTGAAATAGTTGTTTCAAGCGCCGTGGCACGCTGCGGTGCGGTGCGGCAGGCGGGCAGCCAGCGCGAAACGCGCATTGGCGCCTACAAACCTAACAGGGATACTTCATGCGTTGCGCAATGCGTGAAGTATCCCTGTTAGGTTTCTAGGCGCCAGTGCGTCGCCGCTCCGCTTTGTGTTAGGTTCTAATATTGAATCTGACGGAGTCAGCGTTATTCAACTAATGATTTTGAAATGTTTGCACATCCTGTATAGAAACTATAGCCCGGCTGCATACTTTTTCATCGCTCCGTATAGCCCGGTCGTATGATTTTCTTCGCATTCTACAACCAGCTATATGATTTTCTGTAGCCTTCTTTAGCCGGCTATGAGAATTCCTATGGTATTTTGAAACGCAGCTCTTATCGCCAATTTTTACCAGGGGAAATATAGTAATCGTCATTTTAAAGCAATAAATTGCTATTTTACCAACTGCCAAAACCTGCCATGAATAATAATCACTTGTTAAAATGGATGAACTTCGAAATCAGCTCTAATATATATATTTTATAACTTACCTTCAATAGTATAATTCTCGTTCTTGACATCTGCAATAAGTATGTATGGTGTTTTGTTGATGCGGCAGTCTGTTGTATCGTGTCAAATGGAATAATAGTGTGATACTAAATGTATTTGTGAAAGAAGTATAAGACCTCCTTTCATCTAACTAGGCAGCGCTATCTACGGAAAAAATATTGAGCGGCTATATACCAGATGTTAAACAGATCTACATCTTTCAGAGCTCAGGTAAAACCTGAAGTGTCATCTCTGGGAACAATCTGTTTTTTCAATGAAATTAATTGTTGTCTGAAGAGTAAGACTGTACAGTCTGCCACGGATGGTAGAAATCGAACTTTATAAACCACGTCTGTTGCCTGGGTTCACAAATAGTTTAAAGTGATAAAAATGCAGATGGACTTACCTCAGATTTTCTTTTTTTGTAAGGAAAAAATGACCCCTTTGCCTCAATGTTTTTTCCCTGATAGTACAAAAGGCGTTCGGATAGGGTTTTTGATGGTGCTATCATATTCTTGTTTTCTTACTTTGTTGGATTTGCCATTTTTTTCTAAATTTACACGTGGAAAAGAAAATTTGTTTGAATGTAAGTTTTTTTTTGTTTTGATTTTGCTGTTGTTTTACTATTATTTCCAGTGGCGTGGTGTGGCGTGACGAAAAATAAGGGGATACCACAGTCTGAGTCGGGGTTTTTGAAACTTAATTTTATCGTTCTTATATTATTTCCAAAAGCCCAGCCCCCCATCTTTATTACTGGCAGCACAATTAATGAATAAAGGACTATTACGACGAAATAAT